CAGTATCCCAGCAGCCAGTTACAACCCATGCTTGTTTTACGAAGCACTTCTCTGTCAAGACCTAGCTGCGTTTGAATAGACAGTGGCATTTGGTGCTCCTGGTGGAGTCGATGGTTGACACGTTGCGTTTCAATGCACTGCCACATTGTGGGTTGACCCCTGGTGGTCCATACATGCAATTTTGTTCAATCAGGGTAGCATAAGGGGCTCCATTTTGGGGGCGGTTGGTTCTGGGCCTCGAGTTTGTTTGGTGTTATGTTTAATTCTTCCGGGTGTCCCGCACTTGTCAGAGCCAAGCCTACTTCGATTGGCCGAGTGGGTTTGGGTTCATGACCGTCATCACCCCCATCATCAGCTTTTTCATCAGCACCATCATCATCATCGTTCTTTGTTTTAACCATCACCTTCTTCATGATCGCAGTCATCATGGCCAGGGCACCGTCATTGGTATCTTTGCATGTTTTGAGCCACGACCATCACGCCTTCATGATCTAGAAAACCGCCAGCTCTACATGTACGCTTTCATTGCGCAGCGCATGTGTGTGCATCCCTAGCGCCAGCATGCTTTCTGTATCAGCATGTGGACTTCATTGGTTTCGTTTGTCTTCTTTCCTATCCCATCAGCCCAGGCGAGCGCAGAAAATTGCAGGGCCGAGGAGATCCGGTCCTGGCGGTGACTGTGATTGTTTTGGCACAAGGGCGCAGTAGGACTTGGGACGTAGGAAGATTCCTCGAACTCCCAACTGGTTGGCTAGCTGCAGCGAACTTCCACTAGCAAGACAGATCTCAATCTAGCTCTGCAAGTTTTTTCTCTTTCATTCCTGCTGGCAGGAATGAAATATTATGAGCCTCGTTGAGGCGACGCAGGGCAATCGCTTTGAGCCGATTTTTTGCGTGAGCTGTCCTACAGGCCAAAAGGCCACTTGAGACCTTTCCTGCCTAGCTCGGGAGTTGCTCCTCTTTGGAGTCCAACGGGACCACCAATGACCAGAGGGGATCGTTTGCTGCGAAGGCAGCAAGGTCCCGTCAGACTGTGGACACCAGGCGTTGGATTCGCTTAAGGCGATCTGTGAGTGAAGAAAGTTGTCGCTTGTGTTGTCTTTGGTGGTTGGAACTTGTGGGCCGGTGGAGATTCCCTAGGTGAGTAGCTAGAGGTTTTGGTTCACCCTTGTTCACAGAATGGGCAGGTGCTTTCATGTTACGGCGTGCCATGAGACGGTGTACTCAAACTAGAAAGATTTGTTAAACAATGGTTTTCCTGTTTAGAAGCTGCCTACTCCATCAGGGGTGTATGGAAAGCCGTGATCAAGAAACCACTGAGACCAGATATCAAGAGATATGAGACGGGGAAGGTTAATTAACCATTCCCACCGTGAACAGAGCCAGCCGCCTTGATGCAAAAGTCGCTGAAGCAAGAGCTATCCTTATGACACCTTATACCAGTATCAAAGAGGTTCACATTCCGGTCGGTCCGAACGGTGACATTGCCATCACGATGAGGTTCGATGAAGAAGAATGACCAGTATTCAATCACAAGCTCATCCCTCACGTCTGTGGCAAGCACGGGACCAAAGGTGAAGTGCAAAGCATTGTCAGTACCTGCAAAGGGTCAAGAGCAAAGTTCATCATGGACACGGGATGCGGACACGATCTCATATCGAAGAACAGAGCCAAGAAGCTGGGTCTCGATGTTGAGAAGAGTGTTCATCCCATGTCGTTCTTTTTCAGCGAACGGTGTGACAAGCGCCAATGATGTTGCAAAGGTCCACTTCGATGAATTTGAGTCTACTCACACTCCTTATGTATTTGATGAATCACCCTCAGTACTGTCTGTGGGCAAGAAGTGCATGGAAGAAGGATATTCCTTCGTATGGCCGGCAAATGGTGTGCCATACATGATCTCTCTAGACAAAGAAAATTCTACTGGAGGTCGAAGGCAACATACCTTACATCGTCAAGGGCAGTGACTTCTGCTCGCCGACGATCGATGAACAAACAGAAAGTATATCCAGATTTGATCGCCGGTCACCTTGTTGTAAGTTATCAACCTGAAGCCATTGGCCATGAAGTAGACCCTCAAGGATTCAACTGCGACCTCGACGATCACTCCTACATCCCACGAAACAAGGTAAGACGGAAAAGGGGGAAGAAGAAGAATCAGGCCTCTCCAGGAGAAGACAGATATGGATCACGAGGACCCTAAGGAACCTGATGAGGTAGTCGATGAAGATGATGCAGATGACCTTGAGGTTGATGTCGTTGATGGTGCCAGCAGAATGATGAGAAGGGAAACACTCAAGGCAGAAGCCAGGGCCACGCAACACCTCTTTACTCGTAGGTACAAGAATCCATATTGTGAATCATGTACCAAGATGAGGCACTATACAAGACGCGCAGAGGAGCTTTCAAGAGGACACTCAAAGCATTTGGAGATTTAGTCACCTTTGGTTTCATCGATACTCAGAGGATTATGGATCAAGGCATTCACACCGACAGGGAAATCTTCGTGATCAGAGACCGATACACAGGAATCATTTGGGCATATCCGTCAATGGAAAAGTTCACGGCGGATGTGATCAATGCGGTCAATCACTTCAAAGGGCTCCGAAAGATCAAGCTTGCGTATGCAGACAAGGCTCCTGAATTTGAAGTGGCAATGAAGAAATTGAAGATTCCATTTGATCACTCACTACCGCACCATCCACAGAACAATTCATTGGCAGAGAGGAATAGCCAATTCATCATGATGACCACGACCACATGCTTGCTGGAAGCGGGACTTCCACCTTGCTTCTGGAATCATGCTGTGGAGCGTGCCAGCCACCTGTTGAACATTGAATGTGGAGAGGATGAAAAGGGTTCAAACTACGTGGAAAAGAATTTCATAGTGAAAAGAGATTCCATTTGGCGCCAAGGTCTGTTTCATGCCAAGCAGCCCAGGAAGAGTACTTCAGAAACACAAGTTTGATCCTAAGGGTATTCCAGGAGTATTCGCAGGGTATGAAGTGAAACCAGGCATGAATTCGTCAAGACAATATCGAGTATGGAGTTTAGAGACCTTCACCAATCAAAGTCTAGCATTCGACGCGCGACGTCCCATCAGGAAGTTGGCAAACCTCAGCTCACCGAAACCATCGCATTCATGAACCCAATCGAGTTCCCGCTCAAAGAAGAGTATGAGAGGATCAACAATTCCGTCAAAGGAATGAAGATCCGTGAGCTACGAGACGGAGAACCCGAAGTCGATGATCCCAGGAAAGAGATCGAATATGATGAAGACGAATATTTACCTTCAGAACCAGGAGCACTGGACCATGAAGAGATTGCGAAAAGAGCTATTGGCGATGAGCCCGATGACCGATGGTGATCAACCGATAGACTTTGGTGACGAAGGAGATGGGGATGACGATCCCAAACCCGATGATGATTCAAAGAAGACCCCGGCCGCTCCACCGAAAGCAAAAGAACCTCCAAGCGTTGTGAGAGATGAACACGTACCAGTAGGTGACCCTTCAATGGATCACATGTCAAAGGGCACTGCAGGCGATGGAATCATCTATCTCAACGACATTGGAATCATCGCAGCTGGAACGCCACGACGACCATTGGAACAATCTCCGCATCAGAGAAGCTCGCCAAGATTGGTACGAATGGGAACGCGACCAAGGAGCAAGAGAAGAAGAAGATTACAATGAAGAAAAGGATACCAGAAGCTAAATCAAGGTCAACGCACTGCGTGTGACTCCTTGTCACGCAAGTTCAGCGCACTGCGTATGAACCTCTGTTGAACAAGATCAGCGCACGACGCATGACTCTTGAACAGTGGTAAGAGTATCTGCAAGTGAACTTTCTACAGTTGAAAAGCTGCAAAGCTCGATCTATATCATGGCGAAGATCTACTGAGTGGACTCTGAGCGAGGCATCTTTCACTGTCAGTTTTCACCAATTAACTTGTATAGCCAATAGGTCGAATTGCACGCTCTATATGTAAAAGCCCGCTTAGTTTCAACAGTGCAGTGTAGTCAGAATCTATTTTGATAGGTCTCGCGGCGAATCATAGCGAACCACTGTATCTAGTCCACTACCCTTGAATTTCAATAGTTGGAACGATAGCATACCGTATGCATGTACAGAATACTATAGCGTGTCACGCCTATATTTGCCTCAAGACTCCCGTAGAGCAAGCGGAAAACAAGTGCGCGCCATCGCTGTCTACGAGGGAGAGGATAGTCTACCTACACTTCACGTTGGGCAGATTAATATCCACACGCAACTAATATATATATATATTATTTCTATATATATATATATTCCCGAGGATCCCGTCAGTCTTTCCCACCCACATAAAGACCCTCTTCCTTGTTGCATTCTTTCCGGTCCTCGTTCGCCTTGGAAAGCCGAACCATCCGAACACGAGGGTGTCGAAGGCGAGAAAAGCCTCCGGAACCGAGCTCTGAAACTGACCAAATCACCAAATCCAAGAGACATCCCTGAGGTCCAGCTTGTGTCCGCTAGATGATGGTCCAAAAATAGCACATGTCTTATCAACCTCTCAGGGGAATAGGATCAACCAAACATGCCATTTAGAAACATTACGTATTATAGCACGTTGTGATTTGGATTCTTTCCGATAATTCCGATAAGATCCAAGGGCTGACACCTTCCCCATGGTGTAGATCCACACAGCCAGTGGGCTCCTCTCGCTCCACCTTGAGCATGTGTCTCATGGCTAGAAAAGCTTTGGAATGGTTTTGGGGCCATACAGGCTTTTTGATATGGACACAGCCTCGCAATATGAATCGACAAAGTTCTTCCTACTGTAGACTCTAGACTTGGAGTGACGGGGCATTTATGTCAATGTAAAAAAATAAACACGTTCTCTATAAATACATAATATGGTGTGGTGTGTTTTTTTTGAGACTGCATCAACATAAGCTGGCTTATATAAACGTCAAGTTCATCCCATGACCGGCTCGCGCCACCCGGCTCTTCGGGTGCAGGTGGGAGGCGCTGTCGGAGTTTCAGCGCTTCTGCGCGGTGAACGGCATGGTCTTCGCCTCGGTGCCTGCCGGGCGTGGCAGCAGTGGAGGGCCGTTGATCAATGGAAGAGGTGAAGTGGTGGGCATCACCACATGGCAGTGACTGGGAGGATGTTCGGGGTCCAGTTCTAGGAGGGGAGACGTTGGGGATGTTTGCAAAGGAAACCATGTTGGGAATGTTGGTGAAAAAATATCCGAGGAACGTTGCAATGTTGTGACGTTGTATTTTTTCAGACTTTGCAATTTGTGGGTGGTGTTGTGTTTGAATGCCATAGTTTGGTATCTCAGACTGTGAGATGTTGCGTGAATTTGGTGCAAACAGGCAATGTGTAAGAGGTACAATCTGAGACAGGTTGGATTGGTTGGATGTTGTTTTGATTGAATGAACATGGCCTGGCACTGGTGGAATCATGGTTTGACTGAACCCGTTAGACAAACGCGTGAACATGTGGACACACTCTAGATTTTGATCAGTTTGAAGAAGACAGTTGGATAGTTGGGAGAGTTCCTACAATAACCCATCACTAGCGTTTGTTGTTTTGGCGTTGGTGTTAGCTCAGCCGTGGGGATGGATATGAAACAGAGAAACGGAGGTGGGGGCATAGACTTTTGGAGCTACACTCTGACTGACACGTTCCAGGCAAGTCGATGGCATGGCCTTTTGGAAGACTATTATTCCTTTACGAACAGGGGGGTGTTCCTCTTCCGTGTTAGTGAGTCGTAGTGTAGATTAACCGCAAGATTTGAGGGGATAGATCAACCATCCATGATTGTTCCTTCGACGGACTTTCCGGGTGACTCACAGTGGTGTCTGCAAGAAACGACCCTAATCGGGTCGTTTATTAGGTTTCACAGGCTGTTCTCCTGGTGAACTCGTCCCTCTCAGGAAACCAAACAAACGACCCTGGTGGTTTGGACTGGTGAGATGTTTTAAGACTTTTTTGCAAGGGATTTGTTGCACAATATTGGCGGTGTTGGACTGGTGTGCAACGCTGGAACGCAAGCTCAGTCAGTACAAGGTCTGACGCTAAGCTCGGGCGGTTTTCATTTCAATCTGCACCAGAGGATTCGCACCTTTTGTCCTGGTACACCGTAGATCGAGTAGATGTCATGATCATGATTCAATGATTGCATCAAATTGACACTGAACACTTCGCTCGAGTTGGCTTGAGAAACTCGAGGTTCCAGAGCACTCCTTTGCTGACCGCGGCCGTCAGCGCGAGCACGTTGCATCAGCTGCTTCCAGAGCTCCTGCAGGGAAGTGGTGGCGTGAGTGCACCCACCATCGGTGTGGAGGAACATCTGGGCCCAGCTAAGCTGAGACTTGGTCGAAATACGGGTGAGCTTGACTGGATCAATATCAAGCCATGGACAAGCCATGGTTGACGAAAGCTTTGTTTCGATGTTGCCGTTGATTGAAGGATCAATCATCCACTCATTTTTTTTGCAGTTGCTACTTTCAACACATCGACCAGTCTCCCACCCCGAAGAAAAAGAACGATTCTGAGCTCCATCTCGCCGTGCGCGCCGCTTGAACCCATTTGCCACGGCAATTTTTTGGCACATCCACGCACCTCATTCTCGCCTGGTTGCAGGATCTTCCCCTCTTTTCGCAATGCCCAGCTGGGCGTCTCGGCCTCCGGCGCACGTCTTTGGTGGCCGGGACGGCCGCTGCCTTGGTCCTGGCGTGGACAAGAGCTTTGGTGGTTGGATGAGGTGAAGAGCATCCAGGGAAAGCCTGTGGAGAGTGTGGCAGATGTCTATGAGGCGGCGAGAGCTACACGACATTTGATGCACGTTAAACACATGCTATTTTGCATTGGGTTCACAAGAGAACAAGTGACTCTTCCATACATGTTGGAAAGACATGTTTGGACGGGTTACAGTATGTTCATAGCTATGTTCACCTCAGTTAAACACGGCCCCAGAACTACTTTATAACCCTTGGTGGCCGCCATATTTCGGCTCGTTTCAACCTATGCGTTTGGGCGCCCCAAAGGTCTTACTGAGTTCCAGGGAGCGAGACTGCAGCGCTGTTTGCAGCAATCATCCCCAGAACGCCCTGCTGATCTCCAGAACCAATCAAACTCTTAGACACGCTCAGGTGCACCCCGGTCTCCAAATCTGTCCTGAGGTGGTCCAATCCGCTCCGGTGGGGGCTCAGCTCCAACTGCAGCTGAAGCGTTTCGGCTTCTTCGATGTCAACGCCTCGGCCGTGGTGCGCTGCCGTCCACCCCAGCAGCACCAGCTGCTGCGACGCCTGCTGCGGGCCACGTGGAGGGCGTTGAGCACTGCGCAGGTGCGCAGATGGAGCTTTGAGGGTTCGGGGTTTGAGGGAGGATGAGTGGAGGGGTGGGTGCAGCACTTATATACATGTAGTATTTTTTTGTTTTTAGTTGATATGAATGACGAACAATGACGAAAAGTCTTGAAACTTAATCAACGGCCCCCCTTCAAGATCAACAAGGTCAACAAGGTTTGAGGTTGGAGGTTTTGGAGACCAGATCCCTCTAATTAAGGTGATGACCTGATGATGGATGATGATTGCTAGGATTCTGGGTGAATTGCGAGGCCTGTGTAAGGGGTAATAGGGGGAGGTTAGTTGATCTTAGGTAGACATTATAGAACGTGTCCAAAATACTAGTGTCAGAAGATTTGTATGTCACTTGGAGGAGTTTGGGTATTGTTTGTAGAGGAACCATTTTTGGTGTCATTGCTCCTGCAAGAACTTGGTATACCGGGCCATTCAGAATAATCCTCGTGACGGGAAGACTGGACTTCTCTACTCCCGCCCGCAGGACCCATCCAAGTAGCACCTGTCATTCCCACAAGCTTCTGGGAATCATTGAATCGCCAGTCTGGACCCTGGCACCACCAATCATCACCAGTCCGAGATATTCCAAAATAGCTGAAGCAGCAGGTGAGTCCTCTCAGCTGAAGCCATCCCTGGAACCCGCGGATTTATTCAGATACTTTGACCGGCCAAATTTACCCTTCGATTATACCATATGTACACCATGTATATCGTTCTGTCTATATACATTATATTATATATTAATTCATATTATGCCTCTCTATGATTCCCCTCAAAGGTACCTCATTGCACCAGTTTTCTGCAAAGGTGGCCTTGGCCATCCACGAGTTCACGCGGAACGTGCGGAAGGATCTGACAAAGGTGCGCTCTGCCGTGGAGGAGATGGAGAAGTGCGGGTTCTTCAATGTGAGTCGCTCAGGTGTCCTTCGAAGACGTTTGTCTATTTATTTAACCTCCAACAAACATGGAAGTGGACAATCCCCTGTGTGCAAAGGAAATGGTTTTTGTTGTTTTCAGGGTCATTTTCCACTTATGAATGTTTCAGGGAGGAAGTAGCAGAAGAAGAGGTTTCAGGGGTGATCAGGACAGGTAGCTGGGTAGTTGTCGGCATTTGGCGTGGCAATGCCCGTAATGCCCTTCTGATTATGGGAAAGTCTTGTGGTCAGACTAGGCAAATCTATCTTGAAGACTTTTGATGAGTCCTGGTTGTCATCAAGCCGGTGGACTGGTTCTTCAAACTTGCAGAATCCGCAGTTTTGTTTCATCTGTGCTTGATATACTTAAGAGATTCAACAAACTGCTTGCGCAGCTGCCTGCCCACTTTTTGAGCATGGCCGACTCAGCACTGAGGTCATAAGGATGACAACACGAAGCAATTGAGCTTGGCTACTGCTCGCTTCCTGGTCAAGGGCGATGCCTTCAAGAATCTTTGCCTCCCTCCTCGTTCTCACGCCCAATGTGTGGTTCCCACGAATGCGAAGAAGAAGACATGGAAGAGAGTGCCCCTCTTCGATCTCTGCCGGTTGAACTGTCCGCCGACCGCAGTTTCGGACAAGACGGACCCGGCAGTGTTCAGGGGAAGGGGATCTTCCGGGAACGCGGCAGTTCGGTGGATGTGTTTCAATGATTGTTGTCATCTAATATATAGATCTCTTAAGCAAACGAGGACCAACGTGTTATGCAAACCCTGGATCCACATGATGTGTTTTTCTAGACCCGCGGAACTGGATCCTTCTAAACAATCCCCCGGGTCGTCGTTGGCCTAGTTCGATCTCCGAGGCAACGCGCAGATCATCGATACACCCACCTTTTGCTGTACCTGAGTTGCAGATCAGATCTCATCCTCAGTAGGTGAAGTTTCATACTCCAGAGCTCATAAAGAATCGGAAGGTCATGGAAGGTTTAACAATCCACAAAAGCTGTGAATCAGATTGAAGAGACTCCATGTTTGTGGAGTCTTCGAGCTCCGACTTAGGTATGCATGTGGCCCAGACCAAGACCTGCCAGCTGATTTCGGGTGGCAATGCTACCACGACCAGTCGGCTCATGGGGAGTGTGGCCACGATCTGTAAGCCGATGCCTGTCCTCCAATTGCTGCGGGCCTTGAAGCTTTTATGGGCCTTGGCACTCTCCGTCCTGCGGGACTAGGCAACAGACTATGACAGACTTCCTGGAGAGGGAAACCCAGGGTACTCCCCCCTTCCAACCAGGTGAAAGCAATTTGTTTCTCGGGGATCTATCCTGGGCTTTCCTCTCCAGCAAGATTCATCACAAGTTCTAGGGGTCCTGGATAGGCAGGTGAGACACCAGGATTCATCCAAACTAGAAAGCCTTCAAATACAGAACCTCAAGCCCACAAAACCACTAGCCCATCTAACTCTGCGGGTGGCTGGGTTGACGGTTTCATTCGAGTCAACGGGTCAACGGTCTCAGTCGAACCCCGCAGGGTCCGGACCGACCGGATCCGACCCGACCCAGTTGAGCAGCTTGGGCCAAGCGGATGAAGGTCAAGTAGGATCAAGATCTTCCAAAGTCAACAGGTTGTGTCCAGGGTTTTAGACCTTCAAGCTAGTTGGATCAGTATAGAAGGACCATCCAGGTCCATCAAGACTAGTCCTGCGAGAAACTCATGAAGCTTCCTCCAAGTGCTGCACATGCAGAGTGGAAGCTGTGGAATTCGTTCTGGCGGCGAGATTCGCCGTGCCATTCGATGGCAGATGCGGACAGAAGTGCTCTGAATGAATCCGGACAGATCTTCAGTGACGTTCATGTCCTGGACTGGCTGAGAAGCTTGGAATTGCTTACAACATCTTACAACGACACAGCGAAGAAAAAGGGCGGACGCAAAAAGCGAATCCAAAGGATTTGGGTCATTCGGTCATAGCCAGGCTGCGAGATGCTTTGGGTCTATGCTTTTCGGAACCTTTGTCAAGTATGTAGCTTGACCACCTGGTGGTCGATTTTGCTGGGACAACACTATATATTTGTTTCACGTGTTTTGACTCATAGCACCCCATAATTACTGTTTGTTTTTCTCCTGAGGGTTGATGCACGTCCTGAACAGGCATGTCCTGCCATCTCCTCGGCGTTCGACTCTGACTGACGATAAAGTGATGCATCGTGCCATATCTTCCTAATCCATTGGCAACTCACTGTGTGTTTGGGAAGCGCATTCTAAGTTTTGAATTTGTCAGCAGAACGAACATGTACGAATGAGCCAAATTAGTTTCCTTGTGACTGACAGACCCACATTGATGTTTGATTTGTGTAACTGCAACACTTTCATTGTTCATCCCTTAACCACTTTTCCTTACATTGCCTTACATACTATAGCCACCTCCGGCTTTGAAGTCTCAACCATGTCGCATGATCACAGCTGAAACCCACACCGCCCAACCCCACACCGTTGAGCTTTGGAGTCGACCCAGTGGGGACTTCGGTCGGATGACTTCAGGCAATTTGGGGACACTGATGACCTAGACATACCTGGTGACGATACTGATGGCCTAGACGTGGTGAAAAAGAAGTTCTGCCGAACTACATTTAGGCAGGATTCCCTTTCTGCTCCTTTTCATCAAGACATCAGCTGCAGCCTTGGGTCAGAAACGCCGAGGCAGACTCATTCTTACCAACAGGAGGAAGCAGAACCAGAAATTCGATGAAAACACGTTTGATACAAACGCTTGCTACCTGACGCTAGTCCCCGGTTTAAAGCATTTGACATTCACGTCACTGATTCCCGACAAAAAGGAAACCATTCCTTCTTTGGCCAAGCCACTGATTATACATAATGAGGGTGGAACGGGTAAGAGCGTCTAAGGATCCTGCCACGTAAGTGACGGGAAGAGCGCCTGTACAAAGAGATATTGTTATAGCAATGACACCGAAAACACTAATAATGTAAATCTAATAACGTACAGTTACAGCTTCTGGAAAGTGACGTTTTTGCAGTCCCTAAGCGACCTTTTACAACCCAAGTGACCTCAAAGCAGGCTATAAAAAGGAGTATAAAGGTCACCTTCAAGACAGGTGACAAAAAATGCAAAAATGTAAGTGATGCATCAAGTGAATTCCTCATATAACAATGTACTTGCACCCCCCTGGAACCAGTTTTGAGCGCCTCCAAAAGGAGAAGAACGCCTACACAGGGGGACAAGAACGCCTATGCACGAACAAAGGTCCTCTTACCCAAAATGCGCCGAAATTTCTGCCCAAGAAGAGGTTCTATAATTGTAGAAAGGGTTTCTTGGTCGGTCACCGGGTGCAGCTTGGTGCAGCTTGGAGTGTGTTGTGCAGCTTTCAGGTGAGCTATAACACCACCATCAGTGCCTTGCAATGGTCAGAGGCCTTGTACCTTTTCCACACCATGCCACTCGCCGGAAACTTCTCCAGTCCTCTGCAGCATTCGGGGCGTGACTGCGCCCGGAGAAAGCATGCAATCTGAGTCTTTGAATGTTTTAGAGTTTGTACTGTATCATGTGATGTTTGGCTTTTGTGAGTCGAGCTTTCTGGCCGCGCCTTGGGCATTGGGTCAGACTTCTTCAGATCCGGAAAAACATGTGGCTTTCTTCGATTCCAACGCCAGATGTCGGGCGTGCGGCGTGCCCGGCGTGTCCACACCAGATGCATCGTTCAGAGGGGAATATGGATCAAGTCACCTCGGCTGTGAACTCTGAACTTCCAGCCCCCGACCTGGGTCGAACCCCAGCGCCACACCGAACACAACGACCTCAGCTATAACAGTCTGGGATTGCTGGAATTGGGTGTTACTAGTAGCTTCTAGCTACTAGGAGAGTGGGAGACTGAGTGGTGCGAGTGAGAGTGAGTGTGAGTAAGAGTGAGTGTGGGTGAGAGTGTGTGTGTGAGGGTGAAATCAGACGGGACGATTAGCAGGGAAGAGGTAGGAGCAGGGAAGAGGTAGGAATTCTACATGATTTTGATCAACATCATTTTGCATAACAGTCTGTATATGTCAGTATGTAAAAAAATGGTTTCACTCAGATAAAAGTATCTGATAGACCTTGTCTGTCAAGAACTTGTCAAAAACAGTATTTCAATGAACAATAATCACCCGGGTTGTGATGTACTTTTCAGTTGTTGATTCCATACCTCAACTCAGCTGAGTATACTTAGTGCTGCAATTGGACGTGCCAGCAGTCTTTCTATCCTGGTCTCAATCCAAGGGTTTCATTTTGGGTAGTATGATTTGCAGGCCCAGAGAAATCCTTAAAGTGGTGGGAGTTGATTTTTATCATAAACAAGCCATTAAGTTGGAAGTCCAAGTGTCTTGAGATTTGATATCAACGTTCTACAAAGCTGGGAAAAGAGCTGTTGGCTTGTGTTGATGAACCAAACAATCAAAACAAATCCCTAATTAGTAAAAATAAAATTAAGATGGTGGGTATCAAGCCACTAACAGAGTGTGACACTTGGGGTAGTGTAACAATTCAATTGGAATACAGCTGCTGCCTGCTGGCTTTCCTCCATTGTTGCTTTCAATAGTGTGCCATGTGTTTTGTGTGTTCCAACTGCATGCAAAGTGCTTCAAACCTTGTAAGATGATATCTCCAGAAATAACCAGCCCACTCAAAGGGCACCTAATTATTAGTGGTATGACTGAAAGGATGACTGCTTGCCAAAGCTGTTGATTGTGATTTGTCCACTTGGTATGATTTGCTTGTTTGAACCAGTGTAAAATGTGCAGTCATTGGTCCAACACTAGGAGTTTCTCTAAGTATTTACAGGTAAACCTTGGATCCTTTGGTCGGGCTGGGTTGGGTTGGGTCGGACTGGGTTGGGCTGGGTCGGACATTTCTGGCCGGACTTCATCTTCATCGACGGCCTGCCTGCTTCCAACGACATGGTCTTCAAGGTGACACTGGCGTGTTTGCCGAGTCGTAATAACTCTCGATCGTCCGACAAAGCGTGTGTTTCATTGTTGCATCTTGAAAATTTGTTGGCTCAGGAAAAGGATAAAGACAGCTATGCATGTTCTTAATTCCAATCCACAACTCCACATTCCAACAGCAGTCACAGCTTCAACACATAATTTTCACATGTTATTTTGTTTATAGTTTCCGGGTGAGCCCCCGCGTGTTTACTTAGTCAAAGATTTAATTGAATTAATGTCACCCAATCTAATCTATTTATTCACCACTTCACAGATTTTTTTGGGTCGGACATCTCACTCTGCGGGTCGGACAGTGCATGGCCTGGGAGGGAGACCTCTTTGCCTTCGACCCGGACGAGGGCTTGGGCCAGAGCCCGTACAGGGGGCGGCCAATTCAGGAGCCGGTCGGACCAATGCCGCCGCAGAGGCAATGGCAAGGACGAGGTCGGACCTACAACGATCAGGGACCCAGGTCGTACAACGCGTCGGACATTAACGTCGAGCTAGTGAACTGGGAGTTTGTTGAGAAGGAGCCTCTGGTCATTGTGGCGTACGGGTGTGATTACTGTTACATGGACCTTGCACACCGTGACCCGATTCACAACAGGCCGGACCCAGGTGGTAACTTTGCCCTTTATTAATTTATTTTATTTTTCAATTTTGATTTCCACTGTGTTTCTTCAATGTAATGTTGACTCTTGATTAATCAACCCCCCCCCGCCCCCCCCCCCCCCCTCAACAACCAGGGCCTCCAATATAATCTACTAGAAAACCAATCAAAGGACCAAAATGAAATGATTCATTATTAAAATCTTCTTGGCCTTCTCTGGCAATATTAAATTAAAAGGGAATCAATGAAATCTCAAATTTGGAATACTAAAGTAAAAGGAAATCAATAAAGTGGAAATGGAATTCTCAATATTTTAATGGACATCTAAATCCAAAGACCTTCAAAAGCATCCAATCTCAATGGAAATCTTCAACTGTTTAATAGAAATCTCCATCCAAAGGCATCAAATCTCAATGGAAATCTTCAACTGTTTAATAGAAATCTCTATCCAAAAGCCTCCAAAAGCATCAAATCTCAATGGACATCTTCAACTGCTTAATAGAAATCTCCATCCAAAAGCCTCCTAAAGCATCAAACCTCAATGGAAATCTACAAAGTTTAAATAGAAATCTCCATCCAAAAGCCTCCAAAAGCATCAAATCTCAATGGAAATCTTCACATGTTTAATGGAAATCTCCATCAAAAGGCATCCAATCTCAATGGAAATCTCCAAAATGTCAATGGACATCTGAAGCAGCAA